ATTTGTCCTTCTAGGAAGAGCCAGATGAGGTAGGATTTCTCACTTTTAGTCTCTTAGTTGTCATTTTTCATTCACAAAGTGTTTTCCCTAATAAGTGTGTGAAAATATCATGTGATTCAAGTAAAAAAACAAAACAAAACACCAAAACTATGAAATCTCTAATTTCCTTAAATAACCCAAATGAGTCTAAACATCATTCATGACTTGGCTCGATACTGGGACATCTACAGAGAGGGTTTATGCTTCTCAATACATTTCACTTTCATGAATTTGAAATACAATTCCTATTACTATTTCTACATTTCACTATTGCAATAAAATAAATGCAGCAAAGTTGAACATATTCAAGCTCTTTAGAATAAGTGTGTCCCTTCTGTTTCCACACAGGACCCAGTAACAGGGACTTCCCTGTGAAACAAGCAGAAAGCCAGTTCTTTAGCTCTACTATTTCTGTATCTAGCTAAATAGCTCAATGATTTGAGACATTAGACGAAAGGTAACACAGAGCTGTGATCCTCTGAAGAAAGGAAGGAACAAATTTACCATCGTATCTGTGCAGCACGGAGCCCCGCAGACGCATGCTGGAGACGAGAAAGCTGACTGTGTTGAGGAGAAGGAGGTTTCTAGCAGAGCTCTGTGGCAAGGCCTCCATGAGAACTGCAGAAGAGACTGATTCTTGGTTCAGAATGTAACTGGGATGCATTTCCCTCTTCTGCCTCTGTCACCAAGGAAGCTGGTAGGGTCCATTTACAGCTCGTGTTTTAGTTTCCTTTCTGTGGCTGTGATAAAACAGTGGGACAAGAAGCAACTTAGGAGAGAAAAATGTTCGTTCTAGCTTACAATTCCAGGTGGTAGTCCGTGATCACAGAGAAGTCAAGGCAGCAGATACTGGAAGCCACTAGTCACATCACATCCACAGTCAAGAGCAGAAAGAGAATCCATGAGTGCATGCTTAGTGTTCAGCCAGCTTTCCCTATTACAAAGTCCAAGACCCCAAATCAGGGCATGGTGCCATCCACAAGTTTTTAGGCTGTTTTTCACCTCCCCTAATCAACTAAGACAATCATAAAAATTGCCCATAAACTTGTCCATAAGCTGACCTGATCTAGACAGGTTTTGTCAAATTGACAGTTGAAATGAATCATCAGAGCTCAGAAGTATGTGTGAACCCAGAGCCTGAAGGACAAGTCCTGATTGGTTGATGGGGAAAGAAGATGAGAGTTGAGGAGAAAGAGGCTCAAAACCCTTAACTGTTTTATAGTTTACAATTATGTCAAAGTATAGGATCCATTTTTGTTTGTTTGTTTGTTTGGTTGGTTGAGACTAAGTATCCCTCTGTAGTCCAGGTTTGCCTTGAACTCACCACAACTCTCCTGCTTCAGCCTCCCAAGTGCTGGAATTACAGCCACCATGGCTAATCCTCATTCTGACTGACTTTTGTAAAGGGTATAAAAATCAAACTTCATTCTTCCCATATAGATATCTAATCATTTTGCTTTATTATTAAGACTAATTTTTCAAATCTATTTAATTATCTTGAGATGTTTGTTGAAAGTCTTCTTATGTAGATTTCTGGATTCTTAATTTGATTCTGTGGGTCTTTGTATTTATGTTGTTGTCTTGATTGCTATTGCTTTATAGTAAATATTAAGACTAACCAACTAGACTCTATATATTTTTCCCCTGGCTCTCTTAAATTGTCCTATTTTTATGTGGGTTCCAGAAATAGAACTCAAGTTGTCAGGCTTATTGGGCAAGTGCTTTTATTCACTGAGCCATTACACCAGACCCTTCAACAGAATATTTTTGTTTTTATTTCTGGAAATTATGAAGATATAGAACACTTTTAGTTTCTTGTATCTGTGGTTTTTTGGACCACGTCAATAACAAATCTAGAGTCGGGTGCCTTGATGAGGCAAGATAGGTAACTGGTTCAGAATCCTGTCCTAACAAAATTCATTTCCCTGTGGAGACATACATTTCACACCTATGCAGCATAAAATGCTACCACAGAGATTCACAGTAGTCGACAGACACAGATTTCCCAGATCAAAAGGTTGTGCAGGGAGCAGGTTTGTTTTAGAATCAAATAAATGTTATTTAAATTTGGAAATGGATACATTTATAAAGGGCTCTAGGAAAAAAAAACAAATATCTGCAATATGAGAATGCTTTCTTAATTCCATCTGAATGCAATTGCTTAAAAATCAGCAAAATCACATGAAAACCCACTTATTTGGAATTCTAGTAGTTACTTTGCAAGAACCAGAGTATCACATCGCAGTCTTAAGACTGTACTGTCCTCCTGCCTCAGCCGGTGATACTAAAATCACAGCGTTGTGTTTTACTGAGAGGGACCTGCACATTTCTCTCTTCTTATGGGGAGTAGAAGAAAAGAATCAATAAGATTAAACTTGTCCTAATATAAATGCATCTAACATGGGGATTTCAAACCAAGGACCATGTTTGAATTTTATTTTAATTGTTTTGTCTGACAATAGCTTTAAAAATGTACTTTACATATTAGATTTTTAAAAAATTATGTATATGGGAATTTTGCCTGAATGTCTCTGTGTACTGTGTGTGTCTGGTGCCCTCAGAAGCCACAGGAGGATGTTTAGTGTCCTGCAACTAATATTAAAACAGTTGTGAGTCACCATGTGGGTTCTGGGGAACTGAACCTGAGTCCTCCACAAGAACAGCAAGTGCTCTCAACCACTGATCCATCTCTCCAAGCCCAACATATCAGTGTGTGTGTGTGTGTGTGTGTGTGTGTGTGTGTGTGTGTGTGTGTTATAAAATATATATATGTATATATATACACTAATATATAGTATGTAATTTATATATGTAGTAATAGTTGATTCCAGTGGCTATCATTGCTCATTTTTGTATTCAATATTTTTTTATTGAAAGCCCTCACTCTTTCAGACTTCATTATTATTTTAGAACACAGACTGTCATGATGAAAGTTAGGCCGTGCTCAGAACTTGAAAGGAAAATTACCGATACTGATGAAGAAAACAGCCTTGGGATGTATAGGGGCCTGAATACCTAAGTGAAAAGCAGAGTCCACCCTTACAAAACCAATGAACAAACATTCATGACTGAGAAACACGGCTAAGCTCCTGGTGTCTAAAACAACAGGCTGTCAAAGGCAGGCAGAGCACAACTCACAGATGAAATCAAGAGATGACCAGCATTCTCTTTCCATTTGTTAGGGCCTGACTCCAGCCTCACATTCCAAATGGGTTAAGTGCACAACGCTGGTGCAGAATGGTTTTTGTGAACAAAACAGCCACCACTGTATTGTGATCACCTTATCATCATGATGCCATCATGACTGCCATTCTTGCTTAATAAACAGAAGACCACTCTGGATGACTTGGAGGCTTAGAGGTAGATGTTTGGCTAGTTTGTCTATTAATAAATTCATTCTATTTATTATCAGTTGAAATTATTATTTGATCTAATGATAAAACCCTGAAGGAGAAAGAAGACAAAGGATAACAAGGAGACAAATCAACTTCTTGTTCTCTCTAGATGCTTAGAAAACACATTGTGTGGCTTGTGTATGAGCACATTAGTGCTGTTTGGTGTGCACTGAGCTCTATTTGGAGGGCCATTGTTATGAGTGTTTACATCACAAGCATATTCCTCCAGCTCTGGCCCAAGCTTGTTTTTTTCATCTTGTCACTCACATGGTTGGGCTACAGTGCTGGTGTGCATAAATGTGGCTGTTCTGTAGTTTTCTTACAGGCTCTAGAGAGTTATGGATCATGCAAATGGTTAGAGATCAGCTTATCTTTTCAGATGTAAAGTGAAATAAAATTATTAAATGCTGAAGCATTGCAGAGTAACCTTGCAATTTTAGTTTGCTTTTCTGTGATTAAAAACATAACACAAAACAACTACAGAAGTTCAATGGACACAAAAGGGTAAGACTAAAAATCAGAAATAGTTGAGACATAATGATATGCTGGAACTTATGGAGAAAACAGACAGCACACACACACACACACACACACACACACACACACACACACACATCTTAATTGAGCCAATTTCTCTTACTGTTCTCCATCTCAAGTATTTCTCAGCTATGCTTTTCCTGGGGAAAACAATCCAAGGATACTTGGAGCATTTTTAACATGAGAAAAGACTAATGTAATGCAATATGAATCTTTAATTCATAGTAAGTGATGGAAAAGAGAAAGACAACTGAAATCTTACAATACCAATAATAAAAGAATACTTAGAAATGCTGTGCATCTTGATAAAGTTAGTCAGGATATCCTAATGGATGTAGCAAATTAGTTTTCAGTCTTGAAATCTCTTTTTAACATTCTAAGAGGAGGTAGACTTTCAGGAAGAGATGTTTCCCTTGGGGACTTTCCCCCTATTTCCCCCTTTAGTGAAGTTCTGTCTTAAGGAGCAAAGTAAATCTTATTTGCATCTTTTACATGAAAAATTATGTTTTGAAAAAATATTTGTTTTTTGTTGATGAGAGAGAGAGAGAGAGAGAGAGAGAGAGAGAGAGAGAGAGAGAGAGAATGTGTGTTTGTGTTTGTGTGTCTGTGTGTGTGTAGAAGAGGATCAGATCCCCTAGAGCTGGAGGTACAGAAAATTTTGAACTGCTAATGTGATTTCTGGGAACTGAAACTTGGGTCCTCTGGAAGAGTAGCAAGTGCTCGTAATCACTCAGCCATCTCTTCAGCCTTCCAAACATCTATTTGAAAGACAATATTTTTGTTATTAAACTGATAATTGAAGATAGGTTACTTTCTTGTAACAATCTCTCTCTTGGCCACACAGTAAACACTTGGATCTGAGCTTCAGGAACCTCAGTGTGTATATAAATACAGTGATCTTACTGTAATGCACATTTTAGTGCAGGAGCTCTGGCTTGAGGTCAAAGATTCTGCACTAGTGATGAGCTCCCAGGGACTATCAGCTACTTTTTTTTTTCTTGCTGTGATAAAACACCATGACCAAGGTGATTCATAGAAGCAAGAGTTTATTAGGAGTTTGTGTGTACAATCCCAGAGGGTTAGAGTCCATGATGGCAGAGCAAAGGCAACAGACGGGAGCCATGGCTGCTGGAAGAGAAGCTGAGGGTTCACATCCTCACCTGTAAACACAGAGCAGAGACCGTGAGCCAGAAATATCATGGGTCTTTAAACTCTCCAAGCCTCTACCTGAATGCTTACTCCAATAAGGTAACATTACCCAAGCATCCCCAAACAATATCAACCACTGGGCACCAAGTGTTCAAATTCCAAGACTCTAGGGGAACATTTATTATTCAAAATAACACAATGTCAAGGAGAGATGCTTTGAGATTCACCAATCCATAGGCCAAAATCATAACCATAGAGATTTGGTGAGGCCCAAAGTAGCTTTAAAATATTTATGTGGATAGGGTGTAACTGGATGTTTCTCGGTCCTGCCCGGCCCTGAGGTCCCACAGCCATTTATAAAATAATCATTCAGAGGCTTATATTAATCACAAACTGTATGGCCTATGGCTTCAGCTTCTTGCTAGCTATCTCTTTCATCTTAAATTAACCCATTACTATTAATCTATATGTTGCCACATGGCCTTGGCGTTACTAGTCTGCTGGCATCCTGTTGATCCTTTGGAGGCAGGCTGGCGTCTCTGTTGACTCCACCCTTCTTCTCTCTCTATCTGTGCTTGGATTTTCCACCTGGCTGTAAGCTTTCTTGCCATAGGCCAAAACAGCTTTGTTTATTACCCAGTAGAAGCAACACATATTCACAGCCTACAGAAAGACATCCCACAGCAACAAGGTCTCACCATGGAAATCTAGCTGACTTGAATTTTGTTTTGTTTTGTTTTTTCAAGACAAGGTTTCTCTGTGTAGCTTTGTGCCTTTCCTGGAACTTGCTTTGTAGACCAGGTTAGCCTCGAACTCACAGAGATCCGCCTGCCTCTGCCTCCTGAGTGCTGGGATTAAAGGCGTGTGCCACCACCGCCCGGCTGACTTGAACTTGTTATGTAGACTAGACTGGCCTGGAACTCACAGAGACCCACCTGCCTCTGTCTTCCTAGTGCCAGGATTGAAAGCATGTGCCCCCATCCTGGCTTCTTGGCTGAGACTTAGATTCATTGTATTTAATACAGAGGTCCAGGGATCTGTTGACCCACTCAGTTTGATTCTAGTGAAGATATTCTATAGAATATCTTCTGGGCATCTACATAGCCTAAAAGTCTTTCTAGATGATATGGAAACTGTTCTACTGGTTTGTAGCAGAACTACCATCATGGGTCAGTGAGAATGTCACTGGTCAAGGGTGTCTGATGCATGACAATCTTTTCTTGATCCCTGGTACCCATGCAAAGCGGGGAGAAGAGAATCGACTCTACAAAGTCTTCCTTTGATCTTCACATGTGCCATGGTATGTGCCATCTCTCTACCCACAATGCAATAAAAAGAGAACCACCATTGCATGAACTTAGTAAAAGCATGTGGGAATGAGAGTGCACACAGTCTTAGGGGTTACAGATGGTTGTGAATTTCCCAGTGTGAGTGCTGAGAATAGAACTTGGGTCCTGTGCAGGAGCAGCATGTGCTCCTGACGGCTCAGTCCTCTCTCAAGTTACTTCTTTTTCTATCTGGATTCGTTTGATTTCTCTTGTGTTATTGGTCTAGCTAAGATTCTAAGAACAACACTGAATAAGAGTGGAGAAGTAGATGCTCTTTTCTCATTCCTGATCTTAGGAGAAACATTTGGACTTTCATCCCATTTCGAATGATGTTGGTTGTAGGTTTGTTGAATGTAAGCTGTTGTGTTGAGGTGTGTTCTTCTTATTCCATGGTTTTTATGAGGAATGGTTGTTGGATTTTGTCAAGCTGATCTCTCTGTAATATCCAAAAATCTAAGCAGGTGGATCTGAATACTTTAAAGTTATGCATTAGGAACTTGGAGAATCTAAGTGCAACCCATAAGCTCTTGAGTTAAAAGGGCAGAATTATTAAAGCTCCGGAAAGCTTTTTGATAGTACACCCTAGCAGGTTTTACTGTCTGGAATAAAATTATAATGCTTTGCAAAAAATGTCTCTAAAAGCTTCACATACTTAGTAAGTAGAAAATCCTGTCAATTTGATAGATAACTTACTATGAAGAATAGCTTAAATGTATTACTAAGAAGATTCTGAAAAAAAAAAAACCTTGCTTAAATCTCTGCTTTTGGTGTCTGTGTAAAGATACTTTAGAATATATAAAATTCAAAAGAATGCTTCCCATATCTTCTTTTCTCATCCTTTCTAACAGGGTTATTGGAGAGAAGTTGCTCAATGACTATGTTGTTACTTACTGAATAAAATTAATTGAAAGTCAACACTTTAATCAAGTAGCTACTTATGAAATCAATATTTGTTATGATTGAGCTATGAAGTGTTTTCCCCCAAAGCTTATGTGCAGAAGCCTTGGCCTCCAGTTGATAGTGCTAATGACACATGATTGGATCATGAAGGGGTTAACGTCATCCATGGACTCCTTTGTTGATAAGTTCATACTATAAGGGGGTGGGGCCTCTGAGGCCTAGTTGGAAGAAGGAGGTTACTAGGGCATGCCTTTGCAGAACGTATCTTGTCATAGATCCTCCTTTCTCCCCTACTTCCTCCTTTCTCCCTCCCTCCCTTCCTCCCTCCTTCCTGACTACCATGGAGTGAGTAGCTTTCCTTACCATGCCTTTTTACCCTGCTGTTTTTGCTGACCAAGCCCAAAAGCAATGAAATCAACTGTGCTCCAGACTTCTGAAACTGTGAACCAAAATCTTTCTTCTTTTAAGTAGATTTCCTAGGATGTTCTGTCATAGACAAAAAAATTGACAAATATAGTACTTTTCCTATATTTTTTATGAAAATATGATTTATAAAAGATATAAGGAATCTATATGATTAAAATGTCTAAAATGTTAATAATGAGGGTATTTATATGTTTAATATATAATATACATTAATATTTAATGTATTTTAGTAATTTAGAAAACTTATATCTACATATGTATTTTCATATATAACATTGGATATATTTCCTTGATGTTAATCAGATTCAAATAAAAACAAAAATGTTAAAACTTAAATGCACTTAAAATTAATTTTGGGGCTGAAGAGATAGCTCAGAGGACAAAGACACTTAACACTAAGTCTGATGACATAAATTCCATCCCAGGGGTCCACATGGTGGAACAGAAACTGACTTACACAGTTGTCTTTTGACATCCACACATGTACTGTGGCATGGCTGAACTCACATGTTACACACACACACACACACACACACACACACACACACACTAAAAAAAGATCTAAATAATCAAAATAGACTTGTAAGAAAGAAATCTAAACTTCCTTATTCCCATTTTTTTTGTAATAAAAATATTAACATATGTGGATTTCCTCACCAAGATTCACATTTTGTATAAAGTCTACTGGACAATAAAATAAACTATGGAGGCAATTGTAAATGAAAAGAATTAGCAAATCAATGAAACTTGCCTTCTAAGGAAAAGTACAAACACTGAAAGAGAGTTTTGTGTATGATAGACATGTCGGTTCAAATTGGTGCAATAAAAGTTAATTATTCTGTTAAAGGTATTGAAATAAACCACTTCATTACTATTCATTCAAGGCACTTTAATAAAGGAAATTATTTGGTCAATTTATATATATTTATAATGGTTTATGCTAAAATCAACATACCCAGATAAAAATGACTAATGAGCTAAGAAAATATTGCAGAACATTTTTGAGACTCAAGTTTAAGCATAATTATATAAATGAGGTATATTGTTAATGGGAACTCATTAATGTTATCAATAAACCTCATACATGATAGATTAAAGTAATTTTAAACACTATTTAAAATAACTGATCATTAAACAATTTCATGATGTGGAATTTTCTATTTGCCACACATTTGGAAACATAGGTTCCAGATTTGGGGACATTTTGCACTTATGTGTTCAGATTAGGGATGTAGTATAACAGTATAAATAGTGTTCAGGAAAGCTCTAAGCTCCATCAATATAAAGTTGTTACAAAGAACTGTTTCCATAGCCACCCAATGACATGCGCAACCTTTGGGATAGTGTTTGTATTTGATATCATAAATCTATGCTGTACTCTGGGAGGGTGTTTTTATGAGACAAATGATTGCATGTGCATTAAACTTGTACAAAGAGTTTCAAGGTATTTCTCTTTCAGGATAAGATTACGGGTACATCTCTTAGTTTACTGTGAGTTTAAAAACTATTTAGGCTGGGCAGTGGTGGTGCACGCCTTTAATCTCAGCACTCGGGAGGCAGAGGCAAGTAGACCTCTGTGAGTTAGAGGCCAGCCTGGTCTACAAAGTGAGTTGCAGATTAGCCAAGGCTATACAGAGAAACCCTGTCTCAAACAAAACAAAACAAAACAAAACAAAACAAAACAAAACAAAACAAAACAAAGCAAAGCAAAGCAAAGCAAAGCAAAACAAAACAAAACAAAACAAAATTCACCTAAAGTTTCATATATTCATACATTCAGCTAAGTTTTAAATAACCATGAAAAGGCTGAATTTTTACATTTAAAAAAGTAATCTTGACTTCATTGTAATTAGCCTTGTGAAAATATATAGGGGTAGAGATACTTTGCAAACGCAAAACATTTTATGAAAAGTTTATCTCCAGCTCTTAAAGATTTACCTACTCCCATCACAAATGACACATGAACTCTATGTGATAGATGATACCATTGTGTAGAAGGGCATTGTTCTTCATGAAATTGCTAGGGGAAACTAGAATGCATAGGAAATGTACTCTAGGTTTGGACAGCATGGACATTTTTATGCATATTATTTTATATGTTGTGTACATATGCACATCTAATCATGGCTTCCAAAACATGTAGTACTTGTTTTCTATAAGAGGAGAAAGTATGTTAGGGTATGTACATGTTATTTGGAGAAGCAGAAGAATGGCTTGGAGAAGATTCATGTTCATCATGCCCTTTTTAATGCTTATTACCTGCCTAAATATGACCTGAACAAGGACAATACCACTAGTCACGTTAACACGAACAGACAAAAACTCACAAACTTTCAATCCTAGACAACCGAGGAATGCTGAGGGCAGGAGAAATAATCTTCCCCAGGGAAGAGTGCAGCAATTGGTTATCCAACACCAAGTGGTCAGCCCTGAAAACACACTCACAAGAATCAGTGTATGGCCTGAGCAGTTTTTATGTATCAACAATTAAAGAGAAAGAGTCCATGAATTTGAAAGAGAGCAAGGGAGATACATGGGAGGTTTTAGAGGGAGGAATTAATGATTAATAGAACATTGCTAGAAGTGAAAAATGATCACTTTTTCTTACTATGTTTTCATTTGTCATATGACATTGATGAGGGCTCCTCTTCTGGGCATGAGGATTATTAATTAACTAAATGTATGGAGAACATTTCCTTTTTAATGCAGAAACTTCATAAATGAATGAACACCACCTTAAAATTGCTCTAAGAACCATTTTCCTTATTATATACTTTGAGAATCTGTTGAGTCTTTTCTGCTGCTGAATATAAAGTAAGAAAATTTTTTTTAGATTACCATCATCACTCATATTTAAATAAAGCCCCAATGTGGCAGAGGTAACTGTATTTCTCAAAGTAATAAAAGACTATTGCGGGTGGGGGTAAAAGAGAGGTGATAAAGAGCTTTTGAGATTTTATTGAAAGGTTCATAATTTATTTGACAGATTTTGTAGATCTGGAAACATCTCATTTTGAACAATAGTCTATTATAGAACCTCAACATCCATAGTGTTTTGCTGGAGCCACTGGGGCTGGAATGTGGTTGGAAGGGAAGCATGAAAAGGCCACATCTCTCTCTCTCTGAAGCTCTGATTTCATACATTTTGTATTTTTAAGTTCTATATGAGATTTGGCTTGGAAATACATTATGTTACAAGAAGAATATGGAAAGGCTTAAGTTTGTTTTGTTCCCACAGTGTGTAAATGAAGAAATTGAGATTGCAAATAGATGTCTGTCACAGCCAGCCTTCTGTTGCTGTGGCAAAATGCCTGAGAGAATCAATTTAAGGGATGAAAACCCATTTGGCTTATAATTTCTGAAGTTTCAGTAGATGGTCACCTGTCTTCACTTTTCTAGGCTTTTGTGAGGGAGAATATTATGGCAGGAATGTGTGTTAATTTAAAGATGTCCACTACATGGTGTCTAAGAGATTAAAAAGGGAGAAAGAAGGGTCCAGAGTCTCAGTATACCTTTCAAGGACACCTCCCTCTTAGTGACTTTCTCCAGCTGGATCTGTCTGCTAATGTTTCTGTCACACTGAATTGTTGGAGCATATTATTGTAAGGTGTTTTACTTTTGTTTATATTGTATTTGTTTAACTCTGTGAAGCTCTGTTACTGTGCCTGTGTAAAACACCTGATAATCTAATAAAGAACTGGCCAATAGCAAGGCAGGAAAAAGGGTAGATGGAGCTGGCAGGTAGAGAATATAAATAGAAGGAGAACTATGTAAGACGAATCTTTTAAAGGTCTTATTAATTAAAAACCCTGGAGCCAGATATTGGGGTGAAAACTGAGAGATCAGAGAAGCAGAACAAGCCACAGCCAACCTCACCTCACCAACTCCTCAGCCGATTGATCCTCTTTCCATGAATCCTCAGACTGAAAGCCTCTGAGTCCTCACTCCTGAGAGTCTCAGTTGAGCTGCTGCTAAAAAGCTTCTAGTTCCTGGTCCTCACGCCTTGTATATCTTTCTGCTTCCTGCCATCACTTCCTGGGATTAAAGGCATGTGTCCTTTCCAAGCAAAGATATGAGATCTCAAGTCCTGAGATTAAAGGTGTATGCCACCACTGCCTGACTCTGTTTCCAGTGTGGCCTTGAACTCACAGAGATCCAGATGGATCTCTGCCTCCTGAGTGATAGGATTAAAGGTGTGTGTGCCACCACTATCTGGCCTCTGTGTCTAATCTAGTAGCTGGCTGTGTTCTCTGATCCCCAGATAAGTTTATTAGAGTGCACAATATATTGGGGGACACAATATATCATCACAGAAATATGGGAAGTGAGAAAGAGAAGAAGAGGAGCCAGAGAAGGGGAGGACATCAGGGGCCAGGCACCAGCAAGCCACAACCAGCAAGCCACAGAAAAAAAGTAAGATTTACAGAAGTAAGAGAATGGGAAAAGCCCAGAAGCAAAAAGACAGATGGTTTCAGTTAAAGAAAGCTGGTAGAAACTAAACCAAGAGAAGGCCAGGCATTCATAAGTAATGATATGCCTTCATTTGTGAACTTATTTGGAAGCTGAGTGGAAGGCCTCCCAAAAGAGTAAAATACCAACAACAACACTGAATAACTTCACCACCTAGGGGTAACACCTGCAATACCCAAGGACTAAAACTTAGCTGAAGCTTTGTTACCTAGTGGTAACAAACCTCTGGGTTTTTCCTGTTCTCTTACTTCTGTAACTCTTACTCTTACTCTATGGCTTGCTATGTATATGGGTGACTGGCCACTGGAGTCCTCCTCCTTTTTCTGGCTACTTCTTCTCTCCTCCCAGATTTCTCCATATATAGAGTGTTTCATGATCAAATGAATATATCAAGTAGAAATACTTGGGATTACATATCCTTAATTCTTTCACCTTTTCCACATCTTTCACCCTTTCAAACTAACCCATGTGAAGTATATGAACAAAAACAGGACAATGGAAAAGGATTATCTTCAGGGCTTTGTAAAAAAGACAGGCATTAATTGTCATTGAGATGTTTATATTTGACCTTAATGTGAAGGCAAACTATG